TAGAGCTAATTTCTATTTTAGCAGTTATGCAGTTCTCAGCAAGCAAGGTAAGAATATTTAGAAGAAAATACATTCAGCATTATCTGTTATTCTAACCCAATATATTCCTAAGGCATTGGAGGCCCACAGATAATGGTAGATGTAGCCTTAAACACTTACCTAATCTTTGTAACCAAACAGATTTTCTAGGTGATGTCAATTCCCAGAGAGTTCTTTCAAAAAAGCACAATATAAGTTTTAAATTTTTTTTTCATCTTTTTAAAAAACCCAAATTACTCATGCTCTGACTTGCCAAATTTAGTCTAAAATAAAAGTCTAGGTAGGGGCTCTAAATAAAAAACTATGCTTGGTCCTATGATGCAAAATTCTGCATCTTTAAAACAGCATCATCCTATTGCTGTTCAGTGAAGTAATTCTGCAAATGTGAAGCTGAGATCTTATTTACCTAAAATCGAAGGAGGCAGCTTTTTTCCCTTGTCACTGTAAATAATTATATCAAGAGCAGCCTCTGCACTAGCTCCTCTGTCACCACAATGGCTCATGATTTTGGTGGACTGTGTACACAGTGACCCACTGCAGCACCAATGTCTCATCACACAGGCAAGATTGCAGCTCCTACAATCACTGAAGGAAGCACTGCAGTGATAGCCTACATCCTGTTTCAAAATCTGCTATCAAAGCAAATTCTTTCACAAGATCTTCTTAGCCACCAACAAAATATCCATGCGGTTTTGTATAGTTGCTGAGGACATGCTCAGTTACCTGCTGGCTCCCAAACTCTGCCAGTATTTTTACAGGCTTTATTCTCTCTGGTGCTTTGGTAGTCATCTGAAGAGGTGTCAGGTAGCAGGTGAATAGCAGCGGGCTAGAAACTATTCTATTTGTTGTCCGAAAGACAAAGTGCCCCAGAGGAATTCACAGCAAAAACAGATTCCAACATTTAATAAGGGAAAGTAAAAGAGACTTGCCTTTGCCTAATCCATTCCAGCTGTGTGAAGGAAATACAGGGGCTAACCCTGCTGGGCTGCTTCTTTCCTGATTCTAGCCAAGCAGCAGGTTTCTGAAACTGAGAGTCACGGAGCACACGTGTGATCACAGGCAGTGCCTCTGCCTGCTGCTGTGCAGAAAGGCAAAGAACACAGAAGCACATGTTGGACTTCAGGACAGTATTTATTCCCTGTGATTTGCATCCTTGATGGAGGTGAGGAGGAGTTTAACATCAGCAGTGCAAGGCTGAGGGATCAGGTCTTCCTCTCACATCCAGAACAAAACACAGCCACAGAGGACCTGGATGAATTCTGCCAGGCTGCCCTGGCCCACGCTTCTTAATGTGATCTTCCTCTTTAGTCTGTTTTAATTATTATTAATTAACAATATTCCCACAGTTGTGAGAACAAGTTGTTTCAGCAGTCAGGATTTCGATTCCCCAACTGGCAATATTCCATTTTATCACCTCCTTGGCTTTTACTTTGATGAGCAGTAGGAATATTTTGCCTGCTGCTTGTTGCAGTTCCATTTCCAGGTGTAAAAGCTTGCTCAGGTAAGCAGACTGCAGGTTCTGCCTCGGGCCAGGGAGCGTGGAGGGCGCGGCTGATGCTCTGCAGGATCCCCACAAGAGAAGGCTCGGCTGTGTGAGCTGTGTGAGCTCAGTCCCTGCGGGCTGTGCCGGGCTGGGGCTGCACAAGGTGCATCCACCCTGACCTTCTGCCCACACAGGCCTTGGGCAGCCCTCAGGTGGTTTTCATACTAAAGAAGAAATCAGCATTAGTTGGGCTGCAAAATCCACACACTACAGGATGCTTCATCCATTTAGTCCGAATGGGGTTAGATGCTCTTGAGATTAATGATTTTCCTTCCTATCCTGGCACGACACTGCAAGAGCAGCCAGAAGCTTGCCTAATGGATTCCAGACCTCTTTACTTATAATAATATTATGGCTATACATGGTTCTCTTTGTCTCAAGTAAACAATGAAGTGATCCACTGTGACAAATGTTTAAACATCATAGGGATGGTTCTACCCACTCTATATTATAACTTGCTTGATTTTTCCCTCTGACATACCCAATTCATTGCAAATTCATAGCACTTAAACTAGGGCAAGGAAAGAAATGCTGAAATAAAAACCAATTACATAATTTTTTTGATCCAGGAAGATCCAAAAACTACTTTACAAGCTATAGGTTAATCCTGACATCCTTCTTGGGACAGTTCCTTTACACTGTCAGTTCTCTGCAGTACTGGGATTTGCATGTCATCATGTAGTGTCTTCTAGAATGGGCATATTTGTAGCTGTGCTCAGATGAATGTAGTACAGGAAGTTAACAACTTGAACAACATCTGTCATCACAAAAACTTGAAAACTTGTTTGCAAAATGTTTTAAACTGTATTTAAGTTTTTTATGCCTGGGGGTATATCAATACCTGTCAGGATTCAAAGATCTATTCTGATCTATTCTGCATTTTTAAAATGCTCATCTGTACACAGGAACCATTCTTACGGTAGGATATCACACACACACACACATATATATATACACACACACACAGGGTGTTTGTGAAGTGCTAAAGAAAAACACTTGTTTTCCCTGCAGACAGAAAAGCTGGGATAAGTTTAGGACACATTAAAATGGCAACATAAACTGAAAAGTTGATTTTTTTAGACTGGAAACCTGGTGTGTTACCAAAGCAGGTGTCATAATCTCGAATAATGGAAATTCAGGTAGAAAATGTAAAACAGGTCTTTTAATAGACTCAGTGATTTTAAAAATGGGGATGGAAATTACAAATCCAGCAAGTGTTCACTTCTTCACAGATAGTATGGTTACATTTTGAGAAGACAATACTGAGGTCATTCATCAAATATAGACTGCAGCAGAAAATCAGACTCTGAAACTAAGCCTAATTTCTGTAGGTCAAAATTATCATATTTTCATCTATATAACCTGCAGATTATCTAAAAGAGAAATAAATAGCCAGGCAACCCACTCCCCACTGTTTTAGCAATTGCTATAGTACACAAATCTGTCATTTTCTGAGGGAGCTGTTTACTCAAAATCCTCTTTTGCATGCTAAACATCTTGCCTGTGATCACCAGTGCCTATTGCTATTTTTTCGGTATCCAACTCACACTGAATCATCTGTGCTCTTGGTTCAGAGGCTCTAAGTTCCAAAAGCTGCAGGTTACAAGAATGAAAATATAGAAACTAGTATGCTAAAATACAGGGGATAAATAGGATTTTGATAAGGAAGCATCTACTTATTTCTTCCACTGAGCAAGGAAAGAACTAGGGGAAAGAACAATTTTGTGGAAGCTGAGGGGAGCACAAACAGCTCACTGGGGAAGGAGTGTTACTGGAGGGGCTTATCAGTGCTCATCTCCTGCCAACACAGGACAAGGAGCATATGGGATGTGCTCACCTGATCTTAACATACACGGCCTGCTTAACGCTTTGGGAAAAGCAAAGAAACAGAACAGGAGTCAGTCATGAGAAGTGACCAGGAATCAAGCCTTCAAGAATATTGAATAGTTTAATTTATAATGTTAGAGCAAACTAATAGTACATAAACTAGCAGATTAATTCATTTTTGTACATGTACACACACATATTAAGCCAGGATACCATTACTGTACTACAAAAGTGTTCTTAAATTACAAGGCAATTTTAACTGGAGACTGAAAAAATCAATGTGCAAAAAACCTGGAAGAATTAGAGCAAGGAAAAAGGAAAGAGGAAGTGAAAAGGAGAACGCTCCCAACAAAGCACAAGGAATCCTCTCTATTAAGTAGCAGCCTCAGCCTCTTCTGTTTGAGCAAGCGCTGCTGGAATGGCCCTTCAGCCTGATCTGCACTGGATACATCCAGGACTGGCTCCAGTGCCAAGCAACCTCCTCTATCACTGAATTAACCGTCACTTCTTTCCCTATTGTAACAAATCTTTAGCTCTATTTGCTCTCTATTTACACTTAAAGGACAAATGATGAAATCAAAGGACCATTACTGTTACCATCCCATCTGCAACCCAGCGATACCCAAAGGTTTCAGACTGACATCAGTGCTGAGGCTTCATGTGCTCCACAGCTGCAGGAACTGCTGTCATCTTTTTCACCCTGCACATTCTTAGATCACTTAATTTTGCCAAAACTCAACACTCAGCCTTCTGGAACTCTTCTAAAACACAGTGGTGACGCGGTACTCACTCTGCATCCTTCCAAGTACTAATGCTTTCTTGGTAAAAAGAAAAGTCCCTGCCTTTCTTGACACCTTTTTCAGAGAAATGTTTTACTCAGCTCTCTCCCTTTGCTTTCATCTTCCTTGCAAAACGAGTCCAAAATAATTCAACGTCATTTTGTCCTGTGGCTGTGTTTAATTTTTTATATTTATACTGCAAGTTCTGCTTGCTTCCTTAGATATGCCTTCCTTTTGGTCTGAGGGGTTTTGTTGGAGGTTTTGTCTTGGTTTCATAGCATTTCACCTTACAATAGCCTACTTGTGTCACTCTGTCAAATGAGATCAAGCAAAGCTTTTTTGGCTGTGCATATAAAAAACTAACCTGGTTTTAATGTTGTTTCTGTGTCTCATGCCACAAATAGAGAGGATTTGTGACATCTCATGTGGAAGCTATCCCAACATCACTATAAATAAAGTCTCTTAAAACCAGAGCAACAGATACACATAGCAATTAGTCTTTGGGACCAGAACTACTTTTATAGTTGATGCAGATTTGTAGTTTGTTTGCATGACATAGTAGTAAAACTGTTCAGCACAGAAACATGGCAGCACCTGTTTCTCCAAGAAAAGGATTAAAAGATGACTTAATATATTTCAGAGTAAGACATTACTCCTAAGCAGTAATTCAATAAGACAGGTCATGATGTAAATAATTATGTGCTAGAAGTGGTGCTGTTCAGCCTGAATTCACAGGTGCTTCCAAACACAGGGGACTGTTCACACTTCAAAACAGCAAAAGAATATATCTCAGTATGGCTTTGCTTACTTACCAGGCAGATGTACTCTGAAAAGACACCAGGGGTGGGCTTAAAGCATCTCCTTTTAAAGTGTGTACTGTCTGTGATGTTCGAGGCTGGGGCTGAGTTTGAGGCTGTGTCTCTGGCTGAGGCTGCGTCTGTCTTGGGTCCTGAGCAGGGTTAATCCATCGACTCTGGCCCGGTGTCATCCACTTTCCATTGATTCCCCAGCGGGCCAGGTAAAATTTGCAAATATCATAGTTCATTGAAGAGTAATATAAAAGGTCCAGTATCAGTAAGATCACCACAAAAAAGCCATAGATCCACACTCCCAACAGTGCGCTGTAGTTGCTGTGAAAGGAAGAAAAGGGACAACAACTATCTCTCAGTAGTGGTGACTGCATTAGTTCATCAAGGTTGTTCATTTCATTAATTATTTATTGATGTCTGAAACAAAATATTGTTCCAAAGCATGTGTCTTTAAAATTAAGCTATTTTTTTCAATATGAATACTGCTATAAGCATGGTTTTTAGAAACCAAATCCACCTGTCTTAAAAAAATTTTTGTCCTCATCTGTCCATAGGCTTTCCAGAGTGGCTGCTAAAGAGACCTCTTAATATGGCTGGCAATAAATTTTAGGAAGGAAGAACATTGACAAAATTATGTTAGACAATGCACTTCACAGGAAGGAAAATGTGTACAACATTGAGATGTATATGTTGGTGTATTTATAATGTGCATATATAGATAAAGGCCATGGCAATTATATGGTGCAGAGAGCTGTAAATCTGTGACAGATGACTAACTTTATTAAAAGAAAGGGGGGAAAAACAGGAGGAAAAATTGTAACGGGTCAAAAATGTGGCGATCAAGAAGGGGAAGAAGTGCTAATGCCCTGCTGGAGATGAAGTATTATTAAAACAAAAATGACTGTCAGGTGTAAATGCAGTTTGGATTGGAAACTGTGTGAGTGGGGAGAATGAGATCAGAACTGAGATAGAAAGAAATGTTAAAAATGAGATTGTTAAGTAGAAAGCAAAAGAAAGGCTGATCTAGACCCATGAGCTAATGTGGAAGTACATGTACTGGAGACTATAAAACCGAGAGGAAGCCGAAGGGATGTTAGTAAAAAATGTCATTAGGAAGGCAGTCTCAGAAAAATTATATCCAAGTCATAGGTGGGTAACCCACATCTGCATCGGGCTGAACTCAAAGCTGAACACACACTCAACTGCTCTCCTTTCACAGCCAGTCAGAAAAACTTGGAGCAAATCATATTTTTTTAGGACATTGATCAAAATGGAAGAGCTTCAAGAAGAAAAAAAAGGATGAGAAAACATGCAAAGCAGAAGGGTATTTGGTATTTTAAAAATATGTCCTCCAGCCTTTCTGGATCAAAATATTTCAAGCCTCTGTTTGAACTTTCATTTCTATTTAAACTATTGTATGACTCTTCCATTTTATACTTTAAAAAAATCATGATATTTGAAACAAGAAATCAGAATTTTCTGTCTGTCAGCATTTCAAGAGAGTGATTCTTCCTTTCGGGGATGATTTTTCCACTACACAGCTATAATGCCCTTAGATTAAATGAAGTTTCATTTTAAATAACTAAAGTAACAGGAGAAAGGTCCAAGCTGTTAATGGCTCACTTCCCGTATAACTTTAGGACTACAAGCCTAGAATTAAAATTTTAAAAATAGAAAGAAATCAGAACATTTCCAGAAGGATTAGAAGTAGGCAAAGTTTAATGTTCTGAAAACCCTTAACTCCAGAGTCTTTACCTCTGCTAAACTTACACATGCAAGCCTAACTTCACACAACAGAGGGTACATCTTAGTAATGCACTAAAATCTGCAGTTCAGGCCCTTAAAAGTAAAACAGGACCTGGTTAATCCAGGCTTCTCAGCAGTGCTGTTCTTGACTTCCAGTAGATTTAGTCCTACTGGGGGTAAATTCTTCTATTTTCTGTTAACAATAATAAAATGCAAGCAAAAGCTGGAAAAATCAGGAAGAAATGCACTTGGATAAATCCCATTCTTGTTCATCATTACTTCCAATAGGACTCATTTTGCATACAGGTCAGCTGTATTTGACCCACACTTAAAAAAGTATATTTGTTTTGGCAACAATGTGAGAAGCAAAAATATTCCTTCTAGTTAACTCAAAAGAATTTTTTTTTGTATTTTGGGTATATAATTTAATCTACCAAAATTTTGACTAGTGAAAATTACAGCTATTTTGAGTGTTTCAATTTAAAGCAGTACTTTAATAATCATGCCACTATGTAAGCTATTCATCTGCTCCTCCTAAAAAACATCTGTTTCTTGCAAGTACAAAAAAAGAAAGGCTGCTGCTTTACATTAATTAACAGACAATGGGACAACAGCACTATCAAAAGAGCCTTGTGAAAAATCACAAGTAAAAATAGTAAGTAGTATGTTTAGTATGCAGAAGGATATTCCATACATTGATACCTTCTGTTTCTCCAACTATTAAGGTGGAAGAAAATGGCAGTTTTTCTGATGGCTACTAATAAAAATTAAAACTGACCTGCAAATCAAGATGTCCTCATTAGAAAATAAACAATCTTATTTACATGGATTAACAGTAAGGCCAGAAACACAGAAGAGAACTCAGAATCCAAAAACTTCTAGGACTTGCTCTCATTTCACTGACCTGAATGATTTAATTGCCAGTTTATTCTTGCAATCTGGTTTTCCTGGTCTTTCTTTTCATTTTTACTAAAACTGAAGTGTGAACAGATTCCAAATGTGCTGAGATTGAAATTATAGATTTGTTCCATTACAGGGTGTATCAAGTTGCATCCATCTCATTCATTCACTTTTTGAGACAGATAACAAGCTCGTTATACCTAGCCTATATTTTTTAGTAGATTTTCTTGAGTTTTATGTGCAAAACAGGAACAAAAAATAACTGATTTGGGAATTCAGGTTTGAAAAAGCCAGCAAATCTGAACAATCGCAGGCTGAATTCTATAGCTGCAGAGTTTAAATGTGGGCAGATGGTCATGGAAATAGTTACCTCCTGTTCCACTTAAAAGGGGCAGTTCCTTGGATTAGTAAAAATAAGGGCTGCCCCTAAGAAATGCAAGGTTACAGCTCTGGTGCTGAGGAAGCCAGTGCAGTTTTTGCATCTACACTTTAAATGAGATTTCCCCCCCATTTTTCTTTACAATTATCTCCAGGCCTTTGTCCAATCCTGGGTTTTGCTGAGGAATCTGTTCCTGCCGTACATGAGAGGTCTTCCTTGCCAAATTACATATTTTTGCAACAGCTGGTAGTGAAATTGATGATTTTTTTTTTTCTTTCTTGTAAAGATGATTCTCTGAGTGCTATTTAAGCAAACACCATTTCTGCAGGGGACACTCAGTACCTGGAGAAAGATGGTGCTGTTCTGTTCTCACACTGCTTTGGGTGCCAGTGTTGGAATGAGGTGTGCAAAAGCCATTCCATGCTGACAAACCAAACTCAGAGATAAGCAAAACCATGGATACACTACAGCCTGCCAGACCATTGCTGCAGTAGCAGATTAAGCACCCCTATCATAGTGGTACTACTGAAAATCTACCAAAATATGCACAACAAAAAACCTGACTATGAAAACTAGACAAACTAGGTTCAACTGAATACTATTTTTAAGAATAGCTAAACAATTTCTTAGATGGTTTTAAGGGAAAATAGTTTGGATCAAAGAGCTTTTCCTGTCTGTTAGACATAATTTTTATATTTAATACTAAATGAGTTATTCATATTCAAAAATATTATAGAGTGATTAATTTGAATGATTGCAATGATCAATACTCCCATATTTTCCTTTTATAAAAAAACATATAAATATCGTGTTATAGTAATGGAAAAATGTAAATAAATGTGACTATAGTTGCATTGTGGGACTAGTGAAGACAAATGTGCCTTTTGAGCTGTGTCATATCAAAGAAGTCTCAAGTCACTTCATTAACTTTTTCCCTCAACTGTATTATAAAACAAGAAATTTGTTTTGGTGATCACAAGAATGGCTAAGGGGAAAAATAAACCAAATAATAATATTGAAATAAACCAAGCAATATTGTTGAATCACTCTTCCCTGAAAACTATAATCCATTTTTTTAAAGTTCATTGCTTTTCCCATATCTTAAATTATTCTCCCTTGCCACAGTACAATAGGTTTCATTAGATTTTTTTTCAGTGGTGTGTGAAATTAGATCTAAACAAAGAGCTGACTTTGTCACTGTAAACTGAAGCCTGTAAGCTTTAGAATCCAAATTATTGACAGATAAAGTCAGAGTATTACTTAAGAAGCTATTTGCAATGTTTTTAATGTAGGCACATATGGTTTTCTTCTTTCTGCTCCTTCTAAAAATACCAGGGAGTTTTCTACCAAAATCACTGAGCTCAGGGTGAGGAGATCTCTCCTGTCTGTCTTACTCCATGCATGGAGTTTTACATAGGAAGCAGCATTTCTTCATTTTGCTGCTCCTGAGAGATTTATCAGAAATGATGTTTGAGGAACAAGGCAACACCAGTTCCATTCCTGCACTTATCTACACTACAGCTCCAGAGGCCTTTTTACTGTATCCAGTAGGACATCACATACCTTTGCAAAAGTTCTCACACAGCTGATACTCCTAGGAAGTCCTGGACTGGAAGGTAAATAGTCTGCAGGTGGTTCTCAACCACAAATCTTACCAACAAAAATTACACGGGTACCTCTTTCTGCACCACAATTGAACATGTTGACTTTTAAAAAATAGTTCTACATGAAAACTAATATAATACTTTTGCTCTAAATATTTTTATCAAAATAAATGCTGTAGTTCACAGAATACCAAACTAATTTTTTTTCTAAACTGCTTGCATACACAACAGCCCTGTGATGTGAAGACCCCTGGATTTATTTTTCCGGGAGTGTGTGCACATGTGCAGATGTGAGCAGGCAAACAACGCTGGAGGCAGAGAAATGCTCTGTGTCCCAGGGCATCTTTTGCAATCAGCCTGGACCTGTTCCTCTGCCTTGGAAAGGCTGGTGGCCCTCTACATTCCAGTTTGCTGGTGAAAGGAAGGGCAGAAGAGCCTTCCCTGAGTAAGCTCTGGTCATGAATACACAGAGGAGCTGCTGAGACACTGGGAAAAGCCTGAAGCATTGGCTTAGTGCTTGTCAGAACTGCCTTTGATGGTAACATCCTGACCTTTGTGAGACAGGGTGGTCAGCAGTGCTGATGCAGGGTTTACAGAACAACACAGCAAGAAATTAAGTTGCTGTGTGCAGGACAAAGACCTGAAAAAGCATGGGCGCAACAGCCTCGAGAGCCCATTCTTGAGGCTCATTTTACCACTCTAAGTGTGCAGCAGATTCTAGCTCTGTCTGTGACTGCCTGCAGAGCCCTTCTGTTCAGAGAGCCTAGTGAGGACCTCTCTGATATCCAGGGCTGCTGAGGGAGCAGGGCCACGCCAGTACAGAGAGGGGCAGCACACCCTGGTTTTTTAGCACGTGTAGAGCACACACATGTGTGTGTGCTGGTTTTTTAGCATGTGTAGGAGCACTGGGGCTATAAACTCCACCTGGTGGCCTGGAACTATTTATGTTGCCAGATTTGGAGAGCTCCAGGCAAAAGCTGCTGCATTGTCTGGGCTGCACAAAAGGTGGAGAACGTGGATGGTCTTTAACAGGCTTGGTACTACAGTGTCTTCCCAGCGTTCTGTGTGATCTGTTCTCATGATCCCAGATGCACTACAAAGCCAAGGCAAGAAAATTTCACCTGAAGGATGTAACTGCACATAAAGTAACACAACAGTATAGATCCACATTGATTTGAAGATATCTTATATGGGTAGAGTCTATTTTTGTCTGTCTTTGCAGTTGATTGACACATTAACAACCGGTAAATTTAGAGAATGCAACTTTATGCCTGTGCAAGACTGAAATTTCTCTGGGCAGCTCTGTGTGAGGAGTGGGTGTTAAGGAAGGCAATGCTTTGCTGACTCCTCAAGCTGAGCACAGCTGCACACAATGAATGAGACAAGCCAGCATCCGTATTCCAGCACCATCATCTCCTAACAGCCCTGCACCTGCTCTCATTGGGGTGAATACAACAGACCAATTGACTGGCACCACAGAAAACACCAAAATCCTCTTGTGAACAACAATCCATACACTGGGATTCCACCTGTCTTTAATCTGCTCCTTCCTTGTCCTGCAGAGGCTGAATACCAGAATAAAATGGCAGAGAAAGCAGATTGATCAGAATTCGATCTTGGGGATTACACCAAGGGAAACCACAGCCAATCAGTGTGGCCAGAATGTCAATACTAAATAGCAAACTGATCACAAGGGAAGATTTTGCTCCTGTAAATAGATATTCAGTAACAAAGATCTATTTGCTACTTCCTATTTCTTTATAAATAAAAAACTTAGTGACATTCATTCTGGGGGACAGCCCTCAGCAGAACATGGAAGTATCCCAGGTAACAGGCAAGGAGACCACACAATGCTGGAATAAAAGCAAATACATTCTGTTCCCCAAGGCTAGTGATTTGTTACAAGAAATTAAGATTCAAAAACATCAGGGATTCCAAAAAGGGCATTTGGGTTGATATGGAAAATGTCAGCTCACTTCCACTCTCACCTATGAACAGCTTTGGGGTTTATTTTTACCGATGCACATTTAAACATAGTTTGGATCAAATTAGGGTCAGGACAAAGACTTTTCTAACTTTTATATGTAACTTTTTATTTGTCACATTTATATGGAACTTTTACTCTCCTTGCAATGTTTATAGCCCGAAAAAAGCAAAGCTGAAATATTCCTTCTTTCAGGAGTTCTGCAACAACAAAAAATGTTTTAGTAATGGTTTTCTGTATATGCAATTATTCTAATTGCTTCCATCATTAAGTGCACCTCAGACTCTGTTATTAGACCAGGAACAGTTTGGTGAGGAGTACTTTAGAACTCATTTACTTACTTATGCATATATCCATCTGCATTCCCTGTTAAGTTCATCTGCATAACAGTTTGAAATTCTGTCTCATTGCAGCAATATTTAAACACTGTGTTGTTATGGTGACAGCAAAAGATGTAAGATTTATTGTCAGAAAGACGGGGGCAGTGAAAACCAAAGTGGTAGCGACCTTTGTAGTCCGTGTATGGCTCGCAGACCCGAAAATGTGCGGACAACACTGGAAAACAAAAACAACATTGGCTTTGTCAGTCACTTCTGTTATCTGCATCATATCAACTCTCATTTTTCAAGGCTAAACAACTGTTGCTTGATTTCTGAAAAGCATCAGTAGTACAGAACTTTTAACATTTAGTACTTAAAGGTAACAATGTTCAGACTTCTGTTGTATTTTGAGTTTTGTTGCTTCTATGTTTGATTATCATTGTTTGTTTTAAGGGAAGGGAGCAATGCCCTCCATGTTAAGAGGCACAAAAGTATTTAGGGAAATTTTTTCATACTATTGTTCTAGTTATAGTGATATCCATAACCCACAACAATGTTCATGCTTGATTCTCCTGGGACGACTTCATAAAAACAAAACGTCTGTGTAGAAACTGCAATGAAAGTTTGATGGCACTTGGTTTACTGTTCCTGTTTTCTCTTCTTCTTCTCTAAAGGTCAGTCTTTGATAAGGAACAGTCTATCAGAAGCAGTCATTACAAACAGTATAATAAATCTGAGCAACTTTGAATTTGCAAATAGACAGAACTAATAAAAACCAGGTGTTCCTGGGCATTCTTACATTTCTTCTTTAACAAGTTCTCATGTAAAGTGTTTATTACAGCTCTGAGAATATTTTTCTTTTTTGCAGTCCTGTGTCACACTGATTTCACCATCACTTTTACTGGGGTAAAAAAGCAGCTGTCCACTGATACCTTTTTCTCATCTTGGTTTTCCTGAGTTTCTGAGGTTTTCAGTTGTGCAGAGGGACAGGGTAGAAATCCCTTCCAAAATGGTCATAAGCAAACATATGCGGCTTCCTGAAAGACTTTTATATTGCATTTGCAGGGAACGCCCCAACAAAGGCAGGGATGATAAATCTGACTCTATGTTCTCAGAAGGCTAATTTACTACTTTATGATACTATATTATATTAAAGAATACTATACTATACTAAAGAATACAGAATGGATACTTACCCAATGCTAAAAAGATAGTAATGAAAACTCGTGACTCTTTCCAGAGTCTCGACACAGCTGGGCCCTGATTAGCCAATGTGTCAAAACAACTCTCACCAGAATACAATGAAACAATCACCTGTGGGTAAACAATCCCCAAACACATTCCACATGAGCACAACACAGGAGAAGCAAATGAGATAAGAATTGTTTTCCTTTTCTCAGAGGTGTCTCATCTTCCCAGGAGAAAAATCCTGGGCAAAGGAATTTTTTCAGAGAATGTGAATGCCACACTTTTAGGAGTCAATGTTTGTTTCCACATTCACAGTTTGTGTTATGGTAGGCCTCACAAGATCATTTAAGAGTACATGTACACAGACACCCCAAAGGACTTAAGCTCTAAGGAATGTGAAATGTGGAAGTTGAGTCTGAATCCTCTCATCAGTGAAATGTTTGTTCTTTGGAGAACTGAGGCTCAGCAATGATGTGGGCAGCTGCAGTTAATAACATTACAGCAATTAATAAATGATACATTCACTTTGGACTGACTGAATTAACTCCTGTAATTTGGTGCATGAGTTTTCTGCCAGTTTACCAGTACAAGAGGTTATACACAATGACTTGCATGGATTTAGCTGAATGGCACTATCCCTCTGCACAGAGCCCCTCTTGATCTGAAGCTGCATCTGTGCACCTTGCTTGTCTGATCCTCATTTTTTTTCTACTTTGCCTAAAAAAAATAGCCTATTCTTAATACTTTTGTTTGTCAATTTTATAATATATATTACTTTTAAGACAAATTTTAGGGATTGTGACAGTGGAGATCACTTTATTTGTGTGTAGAGAGGGGGAGCCTAGACCAAAAACCAGAGTACTAGGATGATGACAAGGTAATCTTGTACTGCAGTCTGAGTCAAGAAAGCCCACTCCAAATATTTATGTAGTATGCACACACATACCTGGCATCATTAGTTGCATGAAAGATGAAATCATTTTTGTAGATTAATTCAGCCAGGAACTGAAAGTGCTGGAAGAAGGTAATTTCTAAAGGAATACAGATACTGAGAACACTAATTACCTACCTGTTCTTGCTCTACCTCGAAAAAAATATGTGTTCCAAATGTGAGGATGCTATCATCATTAAAGAAACTTTCTTTACACTTAGGTTTTCAATACCCTCTGAAACTCTTGTAACAAATCTGCATGTTCAAATTCTGTCACAAAATCCACACAGCATGTAATTGCATGGGAACGAGTTGATTTGAACAAGTACTTTGCTGCACAACTCTCCTTAATTAACATAGCAGTAATAAAAGTGTGCCAGGATAGATTATGTTGTGAAAAACCTCAATGTTTGCAGCTGGAAAGGACCTCTGGAGGTCATCTCATGCAAATCCACTGCTCAGACAGGGCCACCTGATACCCAGCACCATGTCCAGATGGCTTTTGGGTATCGCCAAGGAGAGAGACTCCACATCCTCCACAAGCAACTTGTGGCATTGCTCAGTCCCCCTCACAGAGAAAAAGCATTTCTTGACATTTGGAGGGGGCTTCTGGGTCAGTTTCTGCCCATGGCCTCTGGTCTCGTCCCTACCACTCAGGGGTTAAGCCTGCTCGTCACCGCCAAGAGTTTGGTTTAACTGCACATCTGGAAGTGTCCCCTGATCCCTACATGGCTCCTCTGCACATTTTAAAAAGACAAGAATCCCCAAACTTCTCTGAGAATGAAAACTGAGGAAAGCCTGATTGTAGAAGGAAGAGAGAAATAAGACAACATCAGGTCCTAGGAGGAGGGATGTCTGCAAAGAAACAGTCCTAAGCAAATCCTTAAAATAGTAAAATGTGTCGGTGATTAAATAAAGGCATGATGTGATGACTGAATGCCATTCTGAGCTGGGCAGTCAGTGTGGAGGGGTTACCCCTGCTGGGCAGCTGAACACCACACAGCGCCTTGCTCACTTCCCCCTCCCAGTGGGATGGGCCAGGGAATCAGGAAGCAAGGAGAAAATTCATGGTTGAGATAAACACTGTATAACAAATAAGAAAAAACCCCACAACACCATCAACAACAAAAAACAAAGCAATCACTTAGTACCAGCAGACTGATGTCCAGCCAGTCTCTGAGCAATTTTTCAGCTAACTCCCACTCTAATTTCACTGCTGAGCATCCATCCCATGGAGTAGAAACCACCTTGGTCAGTCTGGGTCAGCAGTGCCAGCCTGTCACCGGCCACAGCTCTGTGATACCAGCACTGCTTTGGTCACCAGCCTAAAACACAGCCTTGACCCCACCCAGCCAGACCTTGCACACACAGAAAACACTTCCTCAATTTATTACAATTTGTGTAATTTCACTTGCTGTCTATTCTTCTCTGTGGATACAATAAACAAAGAGAGACAATAAACAAAGTGGGGTTTATTTTCTTCCAAGTTTTTTTTTTTTGTTTGTTTGGTATTTTTCTGAAAATAACTTCACTTAAATCCTCAGGTCTAAAGGACCTTATTTCTATCGAAATACTTCAGATAAAGGCATTGTACATGTAAAGGCCTTAAATTGTCTGTTGCAAAGGTGAGGCTGTGTCTGGAGCTGTGAGTGCAAATTCTCAGGCTATTTTTGAAAACAGTTGCCACAGATGCTTCTCTCTCTGTTCCAACTGATTTCAAGAGGATAGTCTGTCATGCTTCATCACCACAAGACTTACCTACTTTACCTTAAAAAATACACTGCCAGCAAATGTCAAACTATTACTTCTCTATCTAGTCACAGCCAGAGATCTGCCTAATGTACATTTTTAATTTAGATACTAAATTTTTAAAGCCCCAAGAGCCTTTGGATGGCTGGTGGTTATCAGCTTTCCATATGGAACCACAGAAATATTCATATGTATGCATTTTACCACATGTTAACTTGCTGTGTGGATGTTCATTTCCTACTTCAAAGAAAAAAATGCTGTAACGTGCAAATAATCTGATGATTTTTGCTTGTTAATATAAGTCTTGCTGTCAGCACTGATTTTATAAATGTGTTTTAATCCTTTAAATGAAAAGGTTTAGATTTGCAAAGCCAATCTAAGAGTTAGTGGTCAGAAAGTCATCCTTCCAGCATGACTGCATGGTGCTCCTCCCTTTATTATGCATTCCTTGTGCGCCCAGTAAAACGAGTGAGTGCTCACCACCCCTGAAACGTCACTGTGATCTTGCTGGCACTGAAACACAATACCTCAAGTTTCAGTATTCTTAACCCAGAAACTGATTACTGAGATTGTTAATCTTAGTATACCAAAGACCTGGAAGTGAAGCAATATCTTACAGATGGAAGTCTGTAAATCTAGGGCACTCAAAGGGAATCTTGCCATTAGATTTTCATTTCAGCTCAGGTTAAAAATGAGGTTTATATTCCAGTGAGAGTAGCATCCTTTCTCCCCCACACCCCCTATCATTCACTGCATAAAGACAGTAGTTTTTGTTTATGGAAACTGATCTGTCTTGGACAAAAAATAATTACACTGGCTGGCTGAAAAATAATAATAAATTTCCTCCTGTAAAATGTGTTGTGAGTTACCAATGACCTGAACCCCTTCCTACAGATCACAGTGGCAAAATTCCACAAGGCAGGAGCAGTTTGGCTGTCACAAAAGACTTGTGATGTTTTCAAATTAAGCCTGGACTCTACATGCTGATATAGGACATGAGATAATAAAACACCAATAATCCAAGGAGCAACAAAATTACAAGAAACACATTTACAAAGCCAATAGTTATCAAGGATAATAGATAGATTATGTAAGAAGTAAAAGCTGTGTGTAATTGGTTTCAAATAAAAACATTGCACTTCACAGGCAGTACTTCTATGAGAGGGGAAAAAAAAGTCTGGGTTTGAGGGAAAAAGGGTTTGAGGGAATACACCAGTGGCTGAATACAGGTATTTGCATAGTGCATTGCACAATGCAACCACAGTGTCCCACTCAACTCCAACACAGGAATTTGTATCAGCTTGAGGAGAAGGGTGGGAGGAGTGGGATCTCAGGACAGCCCTAGCAGAAGTCCCCTATAAAGAGTGGCAAAGGTGTAAAAACTTAAAAATTGACAGAAGAGCCTGGAGCAGCTGGAACAGTTTTGTGATGTTTGATCCCTCTTGGATCACTTCATTGAAGACTTCTCAATAACCAAGTTCATTGCTACACCAGGGAGGTAGATTTTTGAAATTTCTTTAGGCTAGAGGAAGACAAAGAAGCAGCTCCAGGCCCTGTGCCTGATCCCAGTCCATCAGAGGAGGAGGACAGTTCCACACTTAGGAAGTTCCATACATGGGGATTCCAGGGGAAGGGCTCTAAAGGAAAACAATGATTTAAGATGAGCAGAGGAGTGCTCTAATTGATAATATTGTAACATTGTTAGCACAAGGACTGTGTCAGAGCTAAATAATAAACTATCATTAGCAAGAATCAACTTGAACACTGCAAACAAGCAATGAGACTGTGGTCAACAAAACACATGCCTGAACTGACTGGTGAGGATATGAGTATTAATATTTTATGAATGTTTAAGACACAGACTCAGTAGTAACAATTTTGACTGGAGCACAAGGATGGTTTAGGAAACATGGTGCCTGGTAAAATTTTAACTCTGGTGGTTGGGGATGTGATGTACTACAAGAGAATAAGAAGCAGTGATTGAAAAAAAACATCTTTTTGTATTAAAAACTGCCTCAAGAGTGGAGGACAAAAGATATTGAACTAAAAGCATGTAAGGTCAAATGTATTTGGACTGACAACGTTTGAAAATTTTATTTTAAATATTCACTCATGATTACAAAAAAACCCTAATGCCATAAATTACTTCTGATGAACAAATACAGATAATAATCAGAGCACTCCACTAATTCTCAGTCTAACATCACATTTCCACACAAACCCTTTCTGTGTGCTAATTGCAAACATCTAGAGCAGAACTACCAAGCATCAGGAGAAACATCTCTGGTCCAGTCAATTCTTTAGATTCAGGAAAATGACACAGATTCCAAGTTCAATCCTTCAGGTAGTTCACATTCTCTGATGTGCTCATAGAAAAACACACACCTGGAACCTGACTTGCTCTGCTTCCAGTGGATGGTTACTTAGCAAAATGGATGTGTTTTATGGTGGTATAGAAATTATTCTTTTCTTTTAGGTGAGCTGAAAAAGTAGCATATCCAAAGAAATAAAGCTACTATTTCAACTTTTCCGTCTGCTTTGTTCTTACAGTGAATTTTCAATTCCATTTCAAATTCCAGTTTCCAGTTCTTAAATACAAAGAGGCTTCATTTATGTTGAACCTAGATGATCCTGAAGGTCCCTTCCAGCCCTGATTTATCAGACAATTAACAATTATTTAGTCTTGTTTATTTTGTAAAAACCCTGTATTAAATTGCAATTATTTTTTTGCTGTGGCACCACATCGGTAAAAGATAAATTATAAAAGTTACCTGCTGACAAGAGTAATGAAAGCAGAACCATCAGCACATTCAAGGACTGTTGACCACAACTTGTCATCATTGGCTTTCATTGGTCCATTAGAGAATTATCTGTTGGACAAGATGCAACATTATGAATAAATGTCTGTTTCATCTCCTTTCATTGTTCAAATGTTCACTTCTCCACAAAGCTTTGGTAAAATGACATGGCTTCACATAGTAGGGAAAAAAATAGAAATTTTTTTCTAGAATTTTTTTTTCACTTTTTTAAAGGGAAATAAATTCTCCTTTCTATGATTAAAATTCCTTTCTCATTTCACCATGGAGCTATACAGCTGTTTACATACTTTTCATTAACCCAGAGTAGAGATGAATCATATGAAGTTTTTACTGAATATTCATATGTCCCCTGTAATCTACATCCAGCAGCTCTGTTTGTTTTACTGTCACAAGAACAGGCTGTTGTATTATATGTGTAAGGGCCAGAAAGGAATAAACAATAGAAAAATAAGCTGACTGCTTTGAAAGTCAATCTGTTTTACCCCATTAGAGGGTGCAGTCGCTCAGAAAGTGGGTCAGCAACTGAGATGGTTGGAAACACTTCAAAAAATGTCTTTTCATTAGCATCAGAGCCTTTCATGGGATTATTATTTATTGTTTTCCTAGGACCGGGATTGAGAAGTGATGCAGTGTGATGTGACTGGCAGCCCTCCCTTCCCAGAGAGGGTGAGCCCAACTCCTCCTCTCTTCACCTTGATTCAGCAACCGCAGCTGCAGCAGGGACTGTCCCCGGTGTCACCACTAAGAGGACTGTCATCTCCATCACTGATAAATCCAACTAACTCTGGGTCTCAGAGGCTTCCAGCATCCTGGACTCACACTGGCATCAGGGCACAACAGCAGAGGTCAATTCTGCCTTTGTGCATGAACCCTGTGTGCACTGGGGCCACAGACAGGATGGCCCAGGGGGTGCTGCAGCAACCTGGTGCAGGAAATCCAACTCCTGCACTGCTAAAAGTGTTCTCAGGTGTTTACAATGGAGCAGCCTGGGGAAAAAAGAAAGGGAATGGCAATTTCTGTAAAAATTACACTGCTCCTGACACCTCAAGAGACACATTTTGCCAAGTGCCTATAAAATAAGCTGTATATGAATATGCTGTATTCTATAAATACTACATGGTTTACTAGTTGGTGTCTCCTCCAACCTACTGAATCAAATGAAAACCTCCAAACAATTGCACCTGCACATAACAAAAGGGGGAGGGGGTGAAAATTAACACACCATGAGCACTTGAATTCTGAGTAACAGATGTGGGCACCAGAGGGGAAACACTGTGCTACCTACGAAGTGTTGGGAGGCAAAAGATTCCTCGCTAACATAAAAGGCTGTGTGTGGCACATGCAGATTCACCAAGAGCTATCTTAGCATATGGATCACAAATCTAAAAATCGGTGTAACTTCTTGTGGTGGTTTCAGTTCAAAACTGGGCAGAAACACCATTGTAGGCCTTGAAACACAAGTCCTTTAGAAACACAGTACCCCTAAAAAGAGTAAATCAAACAACAGAACTCATTTCAAAAACAACCTTACCAATACCTGGGCTAGGGAACATGACATTAAATAAGTATTCTGTATCCCCTATCACACACCAACTACAAACAAAATAAAGAAGTATATTAGACTATTAATCACCTTAAAAACATTAAGTAAAAAACATTTCAAAAATTAGAAATAACATCTAACAAAAACCACCTAATTAATTAACACCTGTGACTCTACCAACCAAATAAACCCTACCCAATCTAAATTTCTACATACAATAAACAGAAACAAAAACCCAGCAGTACATATCAAAGGCTTATTAAGGAAACCAGTTTAAATCAATTCTACCTCGAATACAGACAAACCCATTCATAGGGTTGTCTTTACTCAGGGACCAAATTATACACAGTAGATAATACAGAAAAATAAGACAACACAATTTATACCTCAAAAAGATCTGATTATTAAGTAAAATCTATATATAAATATCACTATTTACTAAATATTACTACCATTATCTGTGTATAACTATATATTTTATGTATAATATATCTACACTTCTGTACAGGAAATCACACCAGTTTACACTGTTTGGTGCAAGCATGATTAACACCCAAACCACTGTACTCTAGCTTTAAAATAAGCCAATTCCTCCAGAGGAAAACAATTTGAAGCTTTAACACTGTAAAAAGAAAATAAAAGTGCAATAAACTAGGAATGTTAAGTAAGAGTATTTCTCATGAATACTGAAAAATGCCTCCCTCCTTTTCCAGAGGGAATATCATATTAATTAGAAAACTAAGCAGACTTAAAGTTGGAACTGTTTTTTAAAAAAAGAATAATAATGAATACAAGCCAGAGGTTGAGAATGTAGGCATTTAATCATGAAAAACAGCTACAAAGAACAAGCTATTGCCAGTATTGATAGGAATAAAAGGAATTTGATATTTTCCTGAGTAAACCAAAGCTGCAGGAATGCTGGTAGTGATGCATTAATAAGGGAAATCTTGGCCTTCTTAACAGCTAATTAAAAAGAGATCAATAAGCACTCCTGTTGTGTATCTGGGATGACAAAGATGTTTGGTATAGCTGAGCCTATTAAATATTTCCATATCAAGAATAATTCAGGATGACATTAATGAGTTGATACTAAGGTTTGCAATTTGATATTTGCATTTCTATGTAATTTGTACCTAGTTATTTCAGCAGAGCTGGCTGGGGGACACATATATAATTTTTTCAGTTTGTTGGAAAACAATGGCAAGTTTCAGAGGACCTGTAGAACTGTGAGAAGATTTTTAGAAGTAAATGAGATAATTCAGGTAATCAAAAGCTTGTGAGTGTGATGTCGATCCAGACAAAATTAATGGCATGGTTAACATGCATTCCAATTAACAATTAATTAGGGATATAAATATAAGTAACACAATCACTATGCGATTTTGGCAAAGTTAATTTTATTTCTCTCAGGGCTCTTGACTAAAGTAGCTTAAAGATAGTTATAATGTAGGAGACACCTGTAAAATATCATGCAACTTGAGCAGGCACTAAGAATGATTAAAACAAGCTTCTTATCAGTTGTGGAAGAATAACTCAGTCTGGAAATCAGGTGCATGTCTTAGAAAGTACAATCCTGTTAGTAACTGAGTACAGCCTCACTGCTAATCTCTTAAACAGCACTGCAGGTACAAATCTAAAAGCTTTTCAGGGAGGGAAAATTTATTCAATTATATCCAACAGAATGGGCAACAATGAAATTGGCATTTTAATCCAACTCATGCAATGGTTGTATTTTATAGAGTATCAGCTGGGAGGATCAGAGAGGGGGACTAGATAGAGTTGCATATCAAGAGCCAGCAGAGTGACAGAATCTGTGTCAGTGAATACATACATCTAGGTAAATTTTTGTGGTGGTAGTGAAATGCTCCAATTTTATAACTTAATAAGCAATAATTTTATTGCTTCAGTGATCATTACACAGAACAAGACCATTTTTGGAGGACAGAAATACAGGTAACTGTTAATTCCTTGACTATTTTGAATTTCTTACATGCTGCTGTCCGGCCAAAGCCATTGTATTTGAGCAGTACCACAATGACATCTCTGAGGTATTAGAGATCCACTCAGCCACTGGAAGAGATGTGCAGGACAACAGGATGTGCTGTAAGGAAGAGCTTAAGACACACACAGTATTTCCTGATGTCAGGCCACAGAATAGGGACGGCACAAACATGGTAATTAGCAGTGGTCTAGATAAATAAATTATTATTTATTATTGTTATTAATTAAAGACTGATGGCATTTTAAAGCAAGAGCATTATATCTGAAGGATGGAGGAAAGGAAGATTTAGTTGTAGTCTCTTTTTTTATTTGTTTTTTTTTTTTAGTAGAATTTGAGGGTTTGGAGGCTATGTGATTGTTTTCCTTTTAGTTCAGCAAACCAGCAAATAGAAGGGTGGTCTAATGCATCAGTTTTCATTTTTAATGCACCATTCCAAGCTTATTTGTGGTCACTGTGGAGGTAAGGATGATGCCCATCCTTTTCCTCCTCCTTTAAGATTCATACCCTCACACCACCTCCTCCCTTCTGCTGGCAATCACAATTTCAGCTACCTCAGAAAGCAGACTAAAGAAGTGTCTGAAGAATCACATTTTAGAGGCCTTTTTTCACTGTTTGTCCACATCTTATCCTTGTTCCCCTCTCTCACTATTTTTAACTATCATTATTATGCAAGCAGCTGCATGGCAGTTAGTTGCAGGCTGGGGTTAAACCATGACACAGATCTAATTTGGAACAGAAGAAATGGTCCTCACTCATGATTTTTGCTATCTTCTCATGAATAAGGATTCTGTCCAGAATCTTGTTTTCCCTTGCAAAAAATGTAGCCATGCACGATCCAAAGACAGCACCACTCAAAGGAAAGGTGCTGTAATGTTATGATCAAGGGGCCCATAGAAATGCATGAGCTCATTATGCCAGATTTTACTTTCCTGTGACATTTTAGCTCTCACTCTGTTCCTACCTACACTGCTTTGGTTATCCTCATAGTTTTATCTAGCTGTCTTTTCTTGAAGGGAATCAGTGAATCACTGCAAAGAAAAGCTGCCAAGAGAAACAACCATTTCATGAGGGAAGATTCTGATGAAGGAATTATTTTCCCCTGACTTTGAAGGAAAGTTATGTTTAGAAGAGATGTCTGAAAAACAATGCACATTTTACATTTTTTTGGTTATTAGGAAGAACAAAAGGAGCTAGAGCAAGAGAATTTATTAAACACATCAGCACTGCCTCACAATCTTTCTCTCTGCCTAGAACAGAAAATAGGGCAATTCAGGAGATCATTTAATTCCTTTTTCCTGCCATAGGATTAAGACCATCTAAACCATTCTTAGCAGAAGTTCACAGGATTCCCACCACCAGTGGTTTTCTAACCTTCTCAGTCAATTCCCTAGAGAGTTTCTCTACCCTAGAAAGATTTCCCTATACCAAATTTGCAGCCCCTTTGCTTTGCTTTAAGCCTTATGTCTTGTGGAGCTGGAAAATTATTTACCTACAGACACACTGGTT